TAACGTTAATTTGTCGCCCTTTCATTATTAAAGAAACCTTTATTTACAAGTTTCCATTAAAGTCTCAACAGTCTAAAATGGCGACTGTTTCATGTCTAAACACTTCCTTTTGAAATGGTGAACACAAAGAGAAGTTCCGCATTAAATCTCTAGTGGATAATGGTTGGTTGATTAGCTGGACACACGCGATTAGGTTTCATATAGGAGACATCAATGAGTTCGTTTTTCTGATTGGATGAAGCTCAAGACAAGATCCAGGAGTTTACAGACAAGGGATGATTCGTTAGGGGGATGGTTGGGGGATTGTGTGATTGGGGGATTGTGTGATTGGGGGCTAGTGGAAAGGTTGAAGGATTTGGTTTTGGGGTAAGCGAGTGGTTGTGTGTGTGGAGGGCGGGGGTATTGGAGTGATAGTGTGTGGGGTTCACGTTTGTGGTGGGATTATGTGTGGTACTGTGTGTGTGTTTAAAGATACTATTCTTGTCGTGGGGGATGTAGATGATCATCCGGTGACGTGGGGGGGGGGGGGGGTGTAAAGGTCTGAGTGTGTGAGAAACTTCATTGATGAAACAATAACAGAACAACAAATTTGGCTTGATAAAGAATAAACTTTAGTAATTTCTTGGTTAAAAATCACAATAAATAAACAGGCAAGAGTCAGGTAATTTCTCTACAATGTGTTGACTATGTACATAAATGATCCTTATACCAAGAGATATTTTCACACAAGTTGTACATTTATTTTATGGTTTTCTCTTTGTAAACAACATTATGAGCCAGAATTATTTCCCTTATTACAAGTTAGCCCTCAATAACCTGGTCTAATCCCACATTAATTTAATGGCTAATTAAAGGCTATTTTATGGCTATCTCTTGGTTAACATATACACCTCCTCTTCTATTACCTATTAACATACAGATCTAACCCCACATTGATTGTATAAGTATGGTTAGGGTATGACTATAGATACCTGAGCTATATGCACATCTTTTCTATTATAACATTTTAATGAAAAAATTATTGATAATTAATATTTTAGCACATAATTACAATCAACAGCGACCAAGAAAAATTTGGTCAAATAAAACAATTTTATCTAATGTAGATAAACTCTTGGTATGGATACATTTCCCCAACAAAACATTTCTTTTTCTGGATAATACTAAAGTAATTGCATGAAACATGTCTGTTTTGTCATCACAATGCAGAAAGTTTAAAGAGCACAAAGAATAATTAAAGCATCAATCTGTGAGAAAAATATTTCTTCTTACATTTATCTTAACTGAGACTGATGCTTGTGCTGCTTTAAACAAAAGGATTGAGGACACTATGGGACTTTGTGGGTTAAGCTTGCATGACCGTCCGGTAACTGATAATGATATCAGACTCTACGAAGATCATGATTAAAGCTAGGCCTATATGGTAAAAAAAATTCTGTGGTATTAGACCACAGACTTTAGGGTCCCAAAAATTCTGTGGTAACTGACCACAGACTTTAGGGTCCCAAAAATTCTGTGGTAACTGACCACAGACTTTAGGGTCCCAAAAATTCTGTGGTAACTGACCACAGACTTTAGGGTCCCAAAAATTCTGTGGTAACTGACCAAGGACTTCAGACACACGAGGTAAAGTAGATTTCATGTTACAATGAACTTTGTGTGCAAGAGAATCCAAATCAGGATCAGAACTTGAGATTTTCTGGCTGACCATACACTATAGAACCTAAAAATTGTGTGGCCACTGACTGTAGACTGAGGGAATACAAAAATTGTGTAGCCACTGACTGTAGACTGAGGGAATACAAAAATTGTGTGGCCACTGACTGTAGACTGAGGGAATACAAAAATTGTGTGGCCACTGACTGTAGACTGAGGGAATACAAAAATTGTGTGGCCACTGAGTGTAGACTGAGGGAATACAAACATCCTGTAGCCACTGACTGTAGACTGAGGGAATACAAAAATTGTGTGGCCACTGACTGTAGACTGAGGGAATACAAACATCCTGTAGCCACTGACTGTAGACTGAGGGAATACAAAAATTGTGTGGCCACTGACTGTAGACTGAGGGAATACAAAAATTGTGTGGCCACTGAGTGTAGACTGAGGGAATACAAAAATTGTGTGGCCACTGACTGTAGACTGAGGGAATACAAAAATTGTGTGGCCACTGACTGTAGACTGAGGGAATACAAACATCCTGTAGCCACTGACTGTAGACTGAGGGAATACAAAAATTGTGTAGCCACTGACTGTAGACTTCAGGAATACAAAAATTGTGTGGCCACTGACTGTAGACTGAGGGAATACAAAAATTGTGTGGCCACTGAGTGTAGACTGAGGGAATACAAAAATTGTGTGGCCACTGACTGTAGACTGAGGGAATACAAACATCCTGTAGCCACTGACTGTAGACTGAGGGAATACAAAAATTGTGTGGCCACTGACTGTAGACTGAGGGAATACAAACATCCTGTAGCCACTGACTGTAGACTGAGGGAATACAAAAATTGTGTGGCCACTGACTGTAGACTGAGGGAATACAAAAATTGTGTGGCCACTGAGTGTAGACTGAGGGAATACAAAAATTGTGTGGCCACTGACTGTAGACTGAGGGAATACAAAAATTGTGTGGCCACTGACTGTAGACTGAGGGAATACAAAAATTGTGTGGCCACTGACTGTAGACTGAGGGAATACAAAAATTGTGTGGCCACTGAGTGTAGACTGAGGGAATACAAAAATTGTGTGGCCACTGACTGTAGACTGAGGGAATACAAAAATTGTGTGGCCACTGACTGTAGACTGAGGGAATACAAACATCCTGTAGCCACTGACTGTAGACTGAGGGAATACAAAAATTGTGTAGCCACTGACTGTAGACTGAGGGAATACAAAAATTGTGTGGCCACTGAGTGTAGACTGAGGGAATACAAAAATTGTGTGGCCACTGACTGTAGACTGAGGGAATACAAAAATTGTGTGGCCACTGAGTGTAGACTGAGGGAATACAAAAATTGTGTGGCCACTGACTGTAGACTGAGGGAATACAAAAATTGTGTGGCCACTGAGTGTAGACTGAGGGAATACAAAAATTGTGTGGCCACTGACTGTAGACTGAGGGAATACAAAAATTGTGTGGCCACTGAGTGTAGACTGAGGGAATACAAAAATTGTGTGGCCACTGACTGTAGACTGAGGGAATACAAAAATTGTGTGGCCACTGACTGTAGACTGAGGGAATACAAAAATTGTGTGGCCACTGACTGTAGACTGAGGGAATACAAAAATTGTGTAGCCACTGACTGTAGACTGAGGGAATACAAAAATTGTGTGGCCACTGAGTGTAGACTGAGGGAATACAAACATCCTGTAGCCACTGACTGTAGACTGAGGGAATACAAAAATTGTGTAGCCACTGACTGTAGACTGAGGGAATACAAAAATTGTGTGGCCACTGACTGTAGACTGAGGGAATACAAAAATTGTGTGGCCACTGACTGTAGACTGAGGGAATACAAAAATTGTGTAGCCACTGACTGTAGACTGAGGGAATACAAAAATTGTGTGGCCACTGAGTGTAGACTGAGGGAATACAAACATCCTGTAGCCACTGACTGTAGACTGAGGGAATACAAAAATTGTGTAGCCACTGACTGTAGACTGAGGGAATACAAAAATTGTGTGGCCACTGACTGTAGACTGAGGGAATACAAAAATTGTGTGGCCACTGACTGTAGACTGAGGGAATACAAAAATTGTGTGGCCACTGAGTGTAGACTGAGGGAATACAAAAATTGTGTAGCCACTGACTGTAGACTGAGGGAATACAAAAATTGTGTGGCCACTGAGTGTAGACTGAGGGAATACAAACATCCTGTAGCCACTGACTGTAGACTGAGGGAATACAAAAATTGTGTAGCCACTGACTGTAGACTGAGGGAATACAAAAATTGTGTGGCCACTGACTGTAGACTGAGGGAATACAAAAATTGTGTGGCCACTGACTGTAGACTGAGGGAATACAAAAATTGTGTAGCCACTGACTGTAGACTGAGGGAATACAAAAATTGTGTGGCCACTGACTGTAGACTGAGGGAATACAAAAATTGTGTGGCCACTGACTGTAGACTGAGGGAATACAAAAATTGTGTGGCCACTGACTGTAGACTGAGGGAATACAAAAATTGTGTGGCCACTGAGTGTAGACTGAGGGAATACAAAAATTGTGTAGCCACTGACTGTAGACTGAGGGAATACAAAAATTGTGTGGCCACTGAGTGTAGACTGAGGGAATACAAAAATTGTGTGGCCACTGACTGTAGACTGAGGGAATACAAAAATTGTGTGGCCACTGAGTGTAGACTGAGGGAATACAAAAATTGTGTAGCCACTGACTGTAGACTGAGGGAATACAAAAATTGTGTGGCCACTGACTGTAGACTGAGGGAATACAAAAATTGTGTGGCCACTGACTGTAGACTGAGGGAATACAAAAATTGTGTGGCCACTGACTGTAGACTGAGGGAATACAAAAATTGTGTGGCCACTGACTGTAGACTGAGGGAATACAAAAATTGTGTGGCCACTGACTGTAGACTTCAGAAATACAAAAATTGTGTGGCCACTGACTGTAGACTGAGGGAATACAAAAATTGTGTGGCCACTGACTGTAGACTGAGGGAATACAAAAATTGTGTGGCCACTGACTGTAGACTGAGGGAATACAAAAATTGTGTGGCCACTGACTGTAGACTGAGGGAATACAAAAATTGTGTAGCCACTGACTGTAGACTGAGGGAATACAAAAATTGTGTGGCCACTGACTGTAGACTTCAGGAATACAAAAATTGTGTGGCCACTGACTGTAGACTGAGGGAATACAAAAATTGTGTGGCCACTGACTGTAGACTGAGGGAATACAAAAATTGTGTGGCCACTGACTGTAGACTTCAGGAATACAAAAATTGTGTGGCCACTGACTGTAGACTGAGGGAATACAAAAATTGTGTGGCCACTGACTGTAGACTTCAGAAATACAAAAATCCAGTAGCCACTGCCCACAGACTTCATGGATCAGCCACTATGTGGGGAACAAAGAATTCTATTTACTCTGTGTCAGATTATGAACAATGGTAGAACAATATCTTCCACCACCAACTTATCATATTTTGTTCTAGTTATCTACATATTAAATGCAAGAAGTTTCAAGACATTTTTAAAAATTGAGTTATTTCTTCATGGGAACATGAAAAAACAGAGATCTGAGCTCACACTGGTAAATATACATGTGACAAACTGCCAATCAAACTACAGAAACCTACAAGTACATGAACACATATTGAGATTTAAAGGCAAATACTTTTCTATACATACATAATTAACACAATATCCTCAGTAAAGGTAAACACTTAAGTAGGAAGCATAGCTTAAGTCAAGTTGATGAAAAAAGAAGTAAAATTAAATCTTTTTACCTTTAAATATTAGCCAAAAATAAATTTTAAAACTTGATTAAAAAGGAATTAAAAAAAATTAATAAATAAGCTATTTAATTTAGTTTTTAAACAAATAGGCCTACTTGTTTTCAATGAAGAACTAATAGAGAGAAAGGTAATATATTTCTTCTATGTATTTGAGTTATTAAATTTTTCTGTAAATGGGTTAGCTATGAGTGTAGAGTTCAACACACTAGAGGTTGCACTGAGAGCGGTCTGGTTTACTGAAGACTTTGTTGTAGGGATCAACGTCAAGACACTTTTGGCAGAGGTAGCCTGATTTTGTACAGTGGTCATGTCCAGATTTTTCAATGTGCTCATGTCCAGATTTTTCAATGTGCTCATGTCTAGATTTTTGACTGTTGTTGTGGTTAAGTTTGTGAGGGCTGGCAATACAGGTGAGCTTGTAGCTGAGACATTGACTGGCTTAGTTGGGAGAGTCGTAGTCTCTGGGATAGGGATAGGAAGATTGTTCTGGGATCCACTCAGTCTTATAAAGGCATCCCACATTCCAAACGTGGCCCTACAAATAAAATGCATACTAAATTTAACAATGTTCGGGTAAGCATAAACATAATGTTTTGTAATTCACCTACAAATAAAAAAAATTAGATTGCCAATAGCATTATGATGTGTAAGCACACGCTAAACTTTGAGCAACATTACTAATGTAACAATCATCTGACATGAACTAGCTATAAAACAAGTAAAAATGATAAATGATGAAGGCAAAATGATTAACTATCAATGCTGTATTTCTAACATTTACCCTTGTTTATAATTAACTATTATTCAACAGTTGAGTAAAAAAAAAGAGTGCAAGCTATTAAAAATTACCCTTTGCTAATCTAAACAAGCAATCAAGTCAACAACAAATTACCCTATGCTAATCTAAACAGGCAATAACAAGTCACAAATTACCCTATGCTAATCTAAACTGGCAATAACAAGTCACAAATTACCCTATAATGCCAAACAACACCAGCAACCAATTGAGCAAAATTTGCTTCTTGTTCAGTTTTCTGTCAACAGAAAATAAAAATTTAATTAACACCTTTTTGTACAAGAGACAAACTAAACAATTCAAGTTTAATTTAAAGAAGAGTAAAAAAAAATATTTTTCACTCGATCAAAATTATTGTTCAGTAGTTTCCCTTAGATTGAGTTATTTCCCTTGATGGAGTAAAGACTGACCCTTTAAACAACTTCAAATGGAACAAGCCAGGCAGGATGAAAGCTAAGAGCGTACAGCAGCTGGCCCCCACCAGGGCCATGAGATCAACAAAGTTGGGGATCATCACAACAATGACCCCTGTCAACAGCACCACCAGACCACGCATCACATTCTGTAACAGACCACATTTTCAAACCATTAGAGACCATTGGTCTAATCTTCAAGGGAGACTACAGTCAAATATAACACTGAACATAAAATAAATTTTAAATGGATGTTGCTATTTCACTCACCCCTTTCCAAACAGATCTATCTGGGTCAAGGATAAAATAATGTTCCAGAACTTTCATCACAGGGAACATCATAACTGTAAAAAAACAACTCTCCTTCATTAATCATGCTAAAGACTTTAGTATTAAGTAAAATGTAGTTATCACTGGGAACATCAAAACTGTAACAATATTTTTCTTCATGAATTATGCTAGTGACTTTATCATTAAGTAAATAGTAGTTCCATATTTAAAATGCTAGCAGATGTACAAGTGAGAAGCAGACTTGTCACATGAAAAAATTGAGATAAAATTACAAAATAACGTTACATGGGTCTACCAACAATTTTAAAGTTTGAAATGCCTCAGCTTATCTAACATGAGTTGTAACAACAGCATGACCAACCAACACTGAAGTAGGTCACAGAATAAAGGAAGAAACATGTATACATGAACTCACCAGGATATGTACAAAATAATGCCAGACAGAGGCAGCATTTCACAATAACACTGAAATTAAAACCCTCACCTGCAAATAAATAAAATTGTTAAGTAACTTACATGAAATATTATAGAAGTAATATTTTTGCTTTTAACTTATTACAACTTCTCCAAAGTTCTATCAGCCTACGATACTATTTTACTCTCTATTCCCTCCTGCTGAGAGACTTCTCCTGTTTAGAAATTATTTTTACCACGTACACAAATCTTTTCGTTTAATGTTTGACAACATACAGGAATTTAATTGAAATGTTGAATTTTATATGATTGAGCATGAGAAATGGGCAATGGAAAATTATGTGCCCAGAATTAAAATGTCATTTCAACTTTACTTTAAAATTATAATATATATATATATATATATATATATAGGCCTATATATATATATATATATATATATATATATATATATATATATATATATATATATATACACATACACACACATATGATTACATAAAACTAGATTTTCGCTTATCAATGACGTCATTATTTCTGTAACATTTCTTTTCGTTTTGAAAATTTCCTATTTGTTCCATGTGCATCATGATCGTGGGAAGATTCGTTTCTCGTCAGTGAAAGCTTTTTTACCCTTATGTTTTCTTTAGAGCGTTCCAGACAGACAGAATAACGAAACAGTTATAGTGATAAAACTAGATTTGAAACTTACCATTTGGAAGATTCAATGTAATGATTTGTTTTGTTTCAGCACCAAAAGACTGGAAAAGAATAACAAACGTATATAAGTTAGGGGAGGTAAGTTCCTACACTGTTTACACTTGCCAAATGAATAATATAGGACTACACGTCTAGGAAAAAAACTCACAAGTTAATGTTACATGAAAACTTTTTTCCCACAGAATAGGTATACCTACTTGCTGCCAGTTTTTTTTTCTATTTCTAGACATGTATATTACACAAGTCACAAGTGTAAAAGTGGTGGTACAAATGTATGAAAATAAAAGGGAGATAATGTAGGTGTCTCTTTTTATTAATACTAACATACTCAAGCCAGAGGGTAAATCCTTACCATATAACCAAAAACTCCAAATGATATGTACAGCACTGTCAATAGTCCTATGGTAGATAAAAAGTACCTGGAGAAGAAATACAGAAATTTGAAAGAATTACAGGTGAATGATTGAAAGTGGCCTAGTGAATGATAGGTGAATGATTGTAGCTGGTTAGGTGAATATTTTTTTAAAATGCACATTAAAAGTGAAAGTAACTTAATCTCATAAAAACATTTTAAGTAATGTTATTCTGTGTGTGATAAGACTTACCTATTAAATTTTGACTTTACTTCTTTAGCAAGAGAATTTTCAAGGGAGAGAATCAAGCCAGCCCCCTGGATACAAAAACAATTGTAAAAACACTATAATTCTCTGGTGGTAAAAGTATATTTATCTTATGTGTTCTTAATTTGGTGTCTATAGAATAGGAACATCAGGCTTACAAGGTGAAATGAAAATGTATTAAGCTGTTGTTGTTGTTACATTTTAAAAATTTCATTGTTTTTTTCTTTAAATGGATAAGCAATAAAAAAATTTAAATATGTCATTTTGAAGGAGAAATAAAGGTTGAATATGGTTTTCCTTAGGGAAAAACACCAGAAAAAATTCTACGGTAAACTTACTTCATAGCAGTAGATAGCTATAACAGCAAAAAAGGGAAGATTTGCGAGAGATATCTCTTTGGGGTGGATTCTACAAATCAGAAACAGAATAAACTTATAATGGGAGATAGACCAGAATATTTTTGGTGTGTCAGTGAACAAAACAAAATGAAAATTAATTATTTTTAAAACATGTCTATGAATTCAAACAATTTACCTCACTTTGCTAGCATGCTTGAAATCAAACCAGAAAACTATGCCAAACGCAAAGAGATTTGAACACTGAGCTATCAAGCTGAAAATAAAAGTGACAATGCAGTTCATAAGAATTCTAGAAATATAAAATAACAAAAAAATATATACATAAAAATAAATGAACAGATAATTTAAACCCCACAAAGAGGTAGCTACATAGAAACCCTTAAAATCCTGCTGTATAAAACTTACCTTGTGATGGCTAGACTGCTAAGATTTCTAAACATTGTCAAAAAACTTAAAGGAGGCAAAACAATCAATAGCCAGTATGTCCTGAAATAAAATTTTAATTTTATTTACAAGGTTAAAATTCAAGAGCACACATGTTACAAACGTCATTTTTTGTGCAAGTAATATGAGCCCTGAACACATTATTAATAATAAATAGGCTTAATTATTCTAATAATCATAATCTCTTGAAAATGTGCATTTTTTTTTACAAGTTTTGAATGTATAATTAAATAAAATTATCAAAGTGCAATAATTTTAAACTCTGAATGTAAACAAGCAGTATTAATAAGTAATAATAAAAAACTGAATACTTACCTTTCAATTTTTGGTATAAGGCTTGATAGATTTTCACAAATAAAAATCAAATAAGCACAGGAGAAACCTATTGTGGGAACAAAATAAACTCTATATGTTGATTAGCCTAAAGAAACAATACTAAAGAAATGGTTGATATATATTTTTGTAACAACAATATTTTAAAACTTTAACTAAAGAAATTTTTTATACTTTACCTATTTGAGATAAAACCAAGGCAAAATCAACCAGTATTCTACCAGTAGGACCAATGGCTTCATAACCTAGTTAAATTTGTGAAAATATCTTAAAAGTGGCTGAGTTAAGTTTTAATATCCCAAGCTACTAAAAGTCTAAATGGATCAATAATTCAATAAACTCAATTTACACTGACCTATATCTCCATATGTTAAGTCATGAACCTGGAAAGATGTTTTGAGTTTTGTTAGTCATAAGATTGGGGCATTAAATGCACAGCTCATAAAAAAAAAAGTTCACATTCACCATGTTTTAACAGCCATAATAAAGAAAATTAAAAATGTAAGCTAAAAAATAAATTTCAGCAAAAAAAATATTCATACTTTAAATCTAAACATATGATTCCATATACATGCAATTACAAGTTACCAAAAAAGGCTTTAGATCTTTAATTCTTGTCATCATATCCCCTTCTGTTTTCAACAAATCAGCCTTTTCTTCTTTTGTTCCAGCAAAATGTGCATACAGGCTGTCTTCTTTCCTGCCCATGTTTTCCTCCCCTGACTTTGATCTATCCACTATTCGATACTTGCACTCCACTATAAGCAGCATTGCTTTCACACTATGAATAAATTAAGAAAAAAATATAAAAATCATTCAACTGATTTAATAGTGTAGTTTAGTGCAAGTAAGGTACTATAGTTATACTTCCTCTATGGTAATAATTTAGCATTTTAAACTGAAGAAAAAAGTACCTTAGTACTGCAACAATAATTATGATGAAAACACCTTCCAAGATTCCAGCCTACAGGGAAAGAAGAAATCATTAAATTAACATTTTGTTAACCAATAATAAACAGTAAAAAGCTACAACTAACTGAATTTCATTTGTTCAACACTCACTAGACAACATTTGCCGCCACACCACACAACTTTAATAATGTATTAATATACATTGTGTTGGCCATTGTACGTGCAGGATTCAAGGTGGGAAACCCAATTTACACTCGTTAATAAGAGCTCCCCTTCCCAAATGTGTGGGTTGATAGTTAATTTCAATTTCCAAAGTTTTATTCATGAAGGATGTAAAATAATATTAGGGAGATTCTCCTGGCTACCAGTAACCTGGATTTTGGTGATTTGACTTTGACAGGAAAGAGGACTGTGGATGTAGAGCTCTATACTCTATTATCATTTTAAATTTAAAACTTACCTCTTTGAATGCATAGGGAAGACCTAACACACCTGCTCCAACAAAGGCAATGAATATGTTGGCACAAATTTTGAATGGGTTGGAAGTTCCAGTGCTTTTGTTTAAGTCTATTAAGCCCATCTTCAACAAGTATAAGGTGTGGGAGAATGGAAGAAATATAAGGCGAAATATTCTTAAAGATATTAATTAATATATCATCATATATCTAAATCTACTCAATAGGCCTTAATAGATCTACTAATTATGGTGTAAGCTTCATTGTAGTCAAGTAATTCAGTAACTTACTACTATTACTAGATCTAGATATAGATCTAGAAATCTAGATTCTAGATCTAGATCTGGTAAAACTCCATTTTAGAGTATTTTATACACCGCTTCACGTTCACGTCAGGTTGAGCTTATTTTAATATAAACACAACCGAAACACACAAAAACGTTAGGAAAACACTAGGATTAGAGCTAGATCTAGATCTTTTTTATTGAATTTTATATGAATATGAGTTTTAATTAGAAAAGGTAAAAAAAAAACAAAACAAAAAAGCATTAGAACAGTTCCAATCAAATGGCATGCGATCGTCAGCGGTGAGCTCACATTGACTTTAGGCTTAATTATTAGCATACGTCATAAGTATAATAAGTCATAGCTTGGGTAATAGCTTGAAATGGTGTTGGCCTCAGTTTTGGGTCATCGTGAGTTCATATAAGTTTTAAATAATTTATTTATACTTAACTTATAATCTAGCATTCAATATTCCAAATTTAGATTTTTCTCACGTTTTGACAAGAGTAAATAATCAAAACTAGAAGTCTAAATCAAAACTTCATACAGAAATAAGCCCAATGTTTTCCTAAGTTTTTGTGTGTTTCGGTTGTGTTTATAATAAAATACGCTCAACTGGAGGTGAAAGTGAAGCGGGTATTAAAATTCGAAGTGTCTACTCGGAATAAGATTTTTCGGCAAAAGATAGTTCTGCGCATGCGCAGTGACCTATAGCTAGGGTTAGGGCTAGAATGAGGGTTAGGGGTAGGATTAGGGATAGGGTTAGGGTTAGGATTAGGGCTAGGGTTAGGGTTAGGGATAGGATTAGGGCTAGGGTTAGGGTTAGGGATAGGATTAGGGATAGGGTTAAGGATAGGATTAGGGTTCTACGGTTGTAAACACACGCATGCGCAGTACCATCGAAAACATCGCCGCTAAGTCGTAGTTTCTCTCCATTGCGCATGCGTATCGCATGCGTATCTTATTCCGACTAGAATCGGCCATTAAAATTATAAGTAAGAGATTAAATAGTAAATAGGCCTAATACTATACGATGGCATGGAGTTTTACCCTTAGTTAGAATTAGTTAGGATGTAGATTTAGATAGAATCATAGATCTAGATCTATTCTTAATTTAGATTCTAGATCTAGAATCTAGATCTATATTATATTATATTCTGCTATTCTAGATCTAATCTAAAATCTAGATCTAGATGAATCTAGTGACCTAGATCTATACTTCTAGTCTAGCTAGATCTAGATTAGATCTAGAATCTCGTTCAATGCGGATTTTGAAAAAAAAATCTATATTCTAGATTATATCTAGATCGAGATGGATCTAGTCTATTGTTTATTTTCTTGATTAAATAGATAGATCTATAAGAAAATAATATTTATTTAGGCAACAAGTAAACTAGGTATCTAGATTCCACATAACTTACTTTTAGGCTTAGGCTACAGGTTTTGTTTAGTCTGCTTTTGTAATGTTTGCCAGATAAATATTTGAAACTTTGCCACAGATTAATGAATGCACATGATAAAAAGACTCAAATACGCTCGTATTTCTATAGTTACACTGAAGAAACGTTATAAATCTAGACAATTTTAAATGTCATTATTTAATTTTTATAAAAAAAATATTGTTCTTTGTTAAACATCAATTAATTTTATACCGATTAATATATTTAGTCCTTGCAATTGCATTATTACAAACAAAAAAAAACCTTACAAATACTTTAATTTCTCCAACATGGCAGGTCTAAACAAGTAGACAGTGAACGTGGAGTGAAGGCTAGGTTGTTGTCATAAGTGTCGACCTTCAAATAAATGAACTTAACACGAATAATATTAAAACCGCGCACGACTGTTACACCTATCTCTAAAGTACCGAGTTCAGATGCAGGACACATGCCAAAGAGACGTCGCTGAACCCAACAAGCTCACGTTAGCCTTTTTTTTAAAACTAAGGCGCCCGGGCAGTGGCGTCCCGAGGTCGATTGTCATCAGGGGTGCTAACTGATGGTGTCAATTGAATGTCATCCCCCCACATAATCCGCTTCAATAATTTTGCATTACCGGGTTGGTGTCACTCCTCTCTCTCTCTCTCTCTCTCTCTCTCTCTCTCTCTCTCTCTCTCTCTCCCTCTCCCCCCCCCCCCCCCAATGCCTTGTTCATTATTTTTACGGAATAAAATTTTGGCAGTAAATTTTACAATTCTTTTGTGTGTCTTCTATCTTTATGCGCCACCCATTACACTTGGCATCGTTTCAAACCGGAAGATGTCAAATTAGTAAAATTTATTTGGTGCTCATCACACAGTTAGTAAATAGATACAATACAATTTTCCAGCTCTAGTTGAAAAGTAAATTTGGCTTATTCCGTTAGGATCTCCATTGAAAGCAGAGTTTCTTTCAGGCATATCTTCCTGTGATGAGACCGCTAACAAGTCCTGTGATGAGACCGCTAACAAGTCCTGTAATGAGACCGCTAACAAGTCCTGTGATGAGACCGCTAACTAGTCCTGTGATGAGACCGCTAACAAGCCCTGTGATGAGACCGCTAACTAGTTCCGTGATGAGACCGCTAACAAGTCCTGCCATGAGACCGCTAAGAAGTCCCGTGATGAGACCGCTAACAAGTCTTGTGATGAGACCGCTAACAAGTCCTGTGATGAGACCGCTAACAAGTCCTGTGATGAGACCGCTAACAAGTCCTGTGATGAGACCGCTAACAAGTCCTGTGATGAGACCGCTAACAAGTCCTGTGATGAGACCGCTAACAAGTCCTGTGATGAGACCTCTAACAAGTCCTGTGATGAGACCGCTAACAAGTCCGTTAGTGCGTGCAATAGTTCTTAACGCTTAAATTTTTGTTTAAAAAAAATTCACTATTAATACATTTAATTTTAATATTCATGTTTTAGTAAAGACACATTTTCAATGATAAACTTGATTACATAATTTTCTTACAGTTGTTATCAGATTAAAAAAAAAAAGTTAAAAAACGGCGTTCATGTTTTATTTTAATTTTAGCACGATTGTGTAGTGTTGGGGTGAATGGAATGGACTGGGTTATGTCGGGCACAATGTAAACTTGAGAGTTGTCGGTCTCATGATCATTATTAGTCGCATTTTGTAAACTGGTAGCCTACCTGTTCTTCAGGCATGAATGGGTTAATGTTGAGCACCATGTCAGCTGGTAGCTTATCATGTGGTGAGTTGTTGTCGGGCGTCACGTGGTCATTCGTCCAGTCTATTCTGGTTGGACAGTTATAATAAAACGCATAGAAGTTTTCCCTTGTCTCACTCCAATGTTTGTGTTGGCAGTTGTTAAGTGTAGCTCAGAGTGAAAGACTTGCAAGCAGTGTTTCTTCCAGACTTTTTTCTCCGGGGAGGGGGCACTTGATATTTTCGGGGGGGGGGGGGGGGGCGGGGGGCGGTCAACGTTTTCCGGGGGGGGGGGGGGGGCGGATACTAGTAAAAGTATATGTTTACTATATACATTCCATTTCGTTCGGGAGGGGGGGGGGGGCCCCCCCCCCCCCCCCCCCCCCCGAAGAGATGCCTGGAAGAAACTCTGCTTGAAAGGAAGCGCACACTCAGATACACGCCGACACACACATACACACATATACACACAAGTACACACAGACACACACCCAGGGGGTAGCCCAACAATACCAGACTGCTAACCCACCTGAGTGTAAGATCTTCGTCAAGACAATCTACTATTGACAATCAATATCGCAATCTTTACTTGATGGGTACTGAAACAAAGGAAAATGTCTGGTAGTCTATCCAAGACGTGCAGCAGACGTCGTGGCCATGCTAAAACCAGAGGTTCTAAGTTCGGACCTCCTGGCATACAAGGCTCGATGGCTGGGGAATACAACAGATCTTAGGGAGAAAGCTCCAAAATCAAACAACTGCTGCCTTGTAGTTGAAGTTTGGTGTTGGGACTTTTACTAGAGTGGACATTCGACAGAATGCGGCACATACCTCAATGGACGTTTTCCTTAATAGTGCACACTAGTAAAAGTCCGGTGGTTAACATTCATGGAATATATATATATATATATATATATATATATATATATATATATATATATATATATATATATATATATATATATATATATATATATATATATATATATACTTTTTCGTGCCTAAGACATAAGAGGCAGATGCAGTAGAGTTCATCTGTTTTAATGACCTAGGCATACATGATATAGTATGCTTTTAAAGTCTTATGCTCATGAGAGATGGGTGTACTCAGGGTCATGAGAGATGGGTGTACTCAGGGTCATGAGAGATGGGTGTACTCAGGGATGTCCTAGAGACTCAGGCCCGGGATCCGAACTCGAGACTTTTGGATCAGCATTCTTATGCTCTGCCGTTCGACCCTACATATTGAGGCACTAAGTCTCGAAACGTTAGCACAAATAATCCAGCAACCACCAATCACTTTTTCATGCCAAGTTAGCCATGGTGAGAAGCTAACGTCACAAGAGGTGTTAGACCTAGATATCTTATATCACGCAGCCATGGCGAGAAGCTAATGTCTCAAGAGGTGTTAGACCTGGATATCTTATATCACGCAGCCATGGTGAGAAGCTAATGTCTCAAGAGGTGTTAGACCTGGATATCTTATATCACGCAGCCATGGTGAGAAGCTAATGTCTCAAGAGGTGTTAGACCTAGATATCTTATATCACGCAGCCATGGTGAGAAGCTAACATCACAAGAGGTGTTAGACCTAGATATCTTATATCACGCAGCCATGGTGAGAAGCTAATGTCTCAAGAGGTGTTAGACCTAGATATCTTATATCACGCAGCGATGGTGAGAAGCTTACGTCACAAGAGGTGTTAGACATGGA